TTCATAAAGTATAAAATATTATAAATTAAAATATCTAATATAAAAAAAAAGAGTTTACTTAAAGAGTAATTTATATGCAAATTTATATGACACTTTTAATAATAAATAAAACTACTTATGTGTTACTATACATCATTTTTAACATTTAAACTATAATAACTGCACATAATTTTTTTCGTGACAACTGTTTAGAATAAAACAGTACGTTTAGTGATAATAATCAGCCTTGCAGAAAAGGAGCAACAAAAATTGATAGGAACGGATAAAATTTTCAAAACAAAAGTGAACTAAATTTAAATATTTACTCTACATCAGATATCTATTTTTATGATCTTGTGTATAATTATAGGAAGATACTTCTCGATTCTCTCTCTCTCTCTCTCTCTCTCTCTCTCTCTCTCTCTCTCTCTCTCTCTCAAGTTTTAATTTGCAAGCCAAGTTATACTCAGAAATACATTTCGCACGAATCATATTATAATGATCTCGAGAAAGTCACATTTGACTGGGAACTGCAAAGTGATTCCATTCACGTGAAATGCATTATTTTATTTAAATGTCTTAAATTCAACAATTCATGCGCGCAAGCGTTTTACTTGGTGACCTCATTCATTGGCAACAAAAAATATTCTTATCATATATTTTGTGCAACGTACAACGTATATGTTCTGATAGCTTTAAGCCCACGGTCCGTTTCCTTTCCCCGCTTATAAAAATCTTCCAATCTTCTTTGTTGGTCGTTCAAACTTCGTTTTGTAAATCGCTCTATGTCTGGCACATGTTGTCCGACGATTCCTGATAAACGGTAATATTAAAAAAAAATAGCGTATTTAATTTCCTTTAGCGGTTTTTCCATTTAAAATATTATTAAATTTAATATATGCAATTAAGCTCATCTTCATAAACTTGTCATGTTTCTGCTGTATAATAGATGCTAAGAAACAAGAAGAAACTTTTAATTTAACTTTTTAATTTTTTGATTTTTTAACTTTTTTTCAATTTAACTATTTTACTACTCATGAATGAATTTAAAATTTGCAATTATTATTTTAATTAATTGCATTTAAGCAAAAATATACAGAATGATTTTTAAATTGCCAAACATATTTTTAGATTAGAAACTTTATTGGTTTTTTATTTTAATTTAAAATGTATTTTATCTTAAAATTAGTTACAAAATATAGCTATCAAATAAATTTCAATAATATATCACATGTGCTTTAGATCAATATCAAGAAACTTTAATAATCTGCAATATTTCTTTATTCAAAATACTGTATTTTATTTATTATATTTACCATATTTTTTAATGTTTATTAATTTACATTAGTGCGATAATGATTCTATATAATTATTCTGCATATGTATAGTTTGTTCAATAATTAATATATGTATCGATACGCATTCGTTTTTTTTTTGTAAACGTTATTCCGAGTAAATTACTATTCATTATCGTAGACCATGACATTGGTGATTCCTTTAAGTATGCTATTTGTTTACGTTTATTTATGGTTGATAATAATCGTTGGCGAGCCAAGCGAGAAAACGTGACTAATTTAGCTTACGGAGTCATAACCGGCTTGATCTCCAAGCGCAAATCAAACTGGTCGGCCTTCTTCGGAAGTGGTTCCGCGATGATGTGATTATCAGTACGAGAAACAGAGGAAACACAAAAAAAAAGAGGAAGAGAAAATGATTTTACGATTACTTCGTGACATGATCGTGACATTAATTCTACGAATGAACGATAGACTGACGTAAATTCGACAATATTACAATTTCGCAAAAAAAAATAAATAAATAAATAAAAATAAAAATAGATTTAACTAGACGCGACTAGTTAGTTAGTATATGTACATAGTATGAGTGTCGATGAATAGAGAGCGTTGGCAGAAATAAACCGTCTCGATGAGTCAGAAAATCCTCCTTCGTTTCATCGTTTACTGGACTCTTCTTTATATTTATTGTAGAGCAGATGTATCTGGTGTCAATTCTCAAAATGTTGGTCAATGCACCTAAAAACGAGAATACTTGAGAGATACGCGTTATCATCCGCCAATCTGGAAAGACGGATAAACTGACGGATAGGCACTTCTCTGTTCGTGAGAAACAAAACTAAATTCCTAAATCTACAGTCGTGTAGAACAAGTGAATAAATTTAAGCAGTTGTACTCTTGCACTTCAATAATCTTTGAGTATCGTTTAGATTTTTTTATGTTAGCACCCAATTGACATCGAAAAGTAATAAATAATATAACATTAATATTACATAATTTTGTACTCAACAATATATTATAAATATAATGTAACACGTAGTGTTATATAACAGTTACATTGTTAAGTGTGAAATTATAGCATTGACGTCATATTACTTTTAGTTGATATCAACTGATTAACGAATTGCGTCTCTGATAGCTAAGAACATATCTACTCTGTCTTCCTTTGTAAAAAATAAATCTCTTGCAATAATATCTTGATGATTTATTTTTCAATTATTGAGTATTTCTACACTTTATTGTAAGATCAACAAATAAAACGCTTTTTGATTATAATTATATATTGTATGTACGTATCAACATTTTTCCGTATTTGTATAAATATTATTGCCCGTAATTCGATCATGTACCTCCTATGATCTCGATGTAAATATACATATATATATATCTATATATATATTATATATGTATATTATATATACATATATAATATATACTATCTATAAGTACTTGTGTATTTGTGTCTGTAAGAATGTATAGTGGTATCATTGATATCTTTTGATATCTTCAAATGCACACTGCAATTTATGCTTTATGTAGTATTTTTATGGATATTTTGTACATGATTACGAATAAAATCGTTTCATTTAAAACTTTAAATTAAGATTAATTTTTTATCAGCTGTTCCAATTTGAGCATAAAAGTGAATATTACACGACAAACATTGTCATTTTTATACAGTTAAAATATTTGTCATCTCTTTTCTGATGTTGAATTTTAAACATTTGATTAATTAATGTTTACGTTGAATTAATATTACAAGCATACAAAATTATCGGTTTATTCATGCAGAAAGTAAGCGATGTTATTACGAAAAACGTAAATTCTTTGTTATAAGCAACGTTATGTATAAGCAGTGTGGAATCGTTAAAATAGAAAGCAAATACACTCGTAGCAGAAACTAGAGACAGAAAGCTAAAAGTAAAAATAAAAAGTGGTAGAAATCAGAGATAAAGATACAGTCATAGTAACATTGAAATTAATGCACGTTACTACGATGCATAGTACGCCTCGAAGAAATGTGTATGTTTAGAGATACTGTTGTTAGTGAGAAATACAATGGAATATATGTACAATGCAGACGAGTGTATCTGGAGAACGCGACACGAATGATGGTGACATCATCGACAACGCATGCGCATCAATGGTACATATGTATATCCAATCCATGACCGTACACTACGTTCACACGACAAACGGAAATTCATTAATTCTGTAATACATAAAAGTGTAATTTAATTAACTGTAATAAAATCCTTTTGTTTCAATTTCATTTCCTCTTTTTTTTTTTAGTTTTTAAACCATTGCACATATCTTTTGAGATTTCAAGAGCTTTTTAAAAAGAATTTAAATCTTTTAAATGTCAAGCAACCTTTGTACAGTCTAGCTATTTACCAGATATTTTTGGATATTCTTCCGATATTTAACTGTTGAAGTATCAACAGATTTCTGGATTTTTATTGTAAAGTGTAAATACGTAAAATTATTTCATATGAAGTACATTTAGTTTATAAGCAAGATGTTTAAAGGAAGGGGAAAGTTAGATTTATTTCTGAAAATTTATCATGTATCAAAACAAGTAAATTTATATGATAGTAAATAATAGATAATAATAGTTATGTGTTTTAACAGCTGTAAAGATTATTGTATATTTAATTTAATTTGTACAATTTGCATTTTAAGTGATATAATTTTGTTACATCAATTTATGTAAACTGCGTTATATGAAAAAACATCTTGCAAATATATTTTTTTAAATTAAAAAATGTATCAATAATTTATTATATAAAAAAAAGGAAAAGACAAGATAAAGCGTAACGATAGTAATAAATAATTGCTGCAATAATTAAGTATCACAGAAATATCCCAAGATATTAATTGAAAATTCGCAGTAAAAATCAATTGACACATAAAAAGCTCAAAGCAATTTTAACTGTTCAAAAAGAAATTTACTACATTTGACTAATTTATAAGTTCAAAATTATAAGTAATAGCAAACTCAATAAAGAAATAAATAAATAAATCTGGACGTGATAACAGTTTATCACTAATATCATGTTGTGATATAATACGCTTAAAATACGTATATAGATGTTTTATTGTGACATTTCGTAACGAAATTGCGTTTTCATTACAATATGTCAATATATACACCGAAACTACTATTGAGGCCATGCATGTACCTGTACTACGATCGCACGTAGCTACGCTACTGGAAGACCGTGCAAGAGCGATGACGAGGGCGACAAGCGTTGCGTCGCGACGCGTCGAGTTGCTTTGCCTTGCGTCGGGTCGTCGGCACGCGTTCGTTCGGATCGCAGTCGTGCGCGCGTATCACTCGGGACCGGGTATATCTTTGGAAATCGGTGTTGACGATTCGCGCGACCACCGTTCGCACGCGAGAGGCACGACACGAGAAGTAGGGAGAGAGCCATTTTTCGCGAATCCCGCGAAACTCACGAGAGATTGCGCGGCGACCTTGACGAGTGCGCGCGCCGGGAAATACGCGGGCAATTAGAATAGATGCTGAGATTAGGACGGGCGCGGAAATCCCAGAAACTGCGGTTTCCTCGGTCGGTGTCACGACGGGAGTGAAGAAAGAAAAAAAAAAAAGAAAAGAAGAAATCGCGAAAAGATATCACTACTGCTACCACTGCTGCCATTGATGGTGCAGTGCGCGTCGACCGCGTCGCGCCGGTCCGACGAAAAGTCGCGGCCGCAGATAAGGATCCCGCGAGCGTTCGCTCGATATTTGAGCCACGCAACGAAGCGCTGAAGGTCGTCAGTCGTACACGCATGATCTGACTGACTTCGGATCGAGTGTGTTTCGGCTACATTGATGCGTGCGTATGTGTGTACGTGTGTGTATACATGCGCGTGTGTATGTATGCGAGAGACTGGATCGTTCGCAGAATCGCAAACGAGTCTCTCTCTCTCTTTCTCTCACTGAGATCTTGGTGGAGACCAGTCGCTTATTATTATCGCGCTACAACGATCCACTCTCAGTCGCTATATCGAGAGAAAACTGAATTGAAGCAACGTGCGCGCTTGTATCTTTAGATCGAAACGCTGAAGATATTAAAAGATTCTCAAGATTGTTAAAATAAAGATTGTGAGATACACGTGTTTAAGGATACAGGGCACTCGTTTTATTCTGCCCTATTGCATTGTGATGCGGAAGTGACGGTGCATCGATCGTGAAGACAGTGAAAATTGATAATCTGAGACGGAGAACGACACTTGGGAGGGACGTGCGGCAAAGAAACGGAGATATGGAAACGACGTGAAATGTCGAGTATTGCATGCCGATAAGATCGTGAAGTCACGATTAGTTCAAGATTGGCGCAGAAGCGATCGTAAGACACCGGAGCAGACGATTGTGCTCTCGGGGCACCTTCGGGGCACCTTCGTAAGTGAAGGCTATGTGAAACGTGTTTTTCTGACGCGATGTTACGTCGACGCGCAATTCATATGGTGAATCCGACATCGAGTATCGAGACGACTTCGTAAAAGCGGTCTGTCACGATTGTGAAATTAACGATTCAACGTTATTCGAAAAAAATACACGAGGTAATTAATTATCCTGCTATGCCATATGATTTTATCTGAACAATTTAATTAATCAACTTGCTTTCTAGTTCTCTCATTGTATGTATATATCTATAAATGTATCATCAGTTTTAATCAGACTGAAGAAATGAAAGAAATAAAGAATGAAAGGAATATTATTATGAAAAGACTAAAGAAATATTATTTTTATGAATTGTTTTACGGAAAATCATAAATAATTATCAAGCAAAAATACTTTTTTATACAAATGTTTATGTAGATTTATTTATGTGTTTATTTATGTATATTTAATTCTTTGAAATTTTTCTTTTAAAATATTATTAGAGATATAACAATATAATAATTATATTATTATACACTTGTATTTAACTATTTATACACGATAATTATTTATGAAACTATACAAGAATTAATATTATTAATATTATTAATATATTATTAATATTATATACATATATGTATATATATATATATATATATACATATATATATATATATATATATGAATGAAAGGAGATAGAAGAGAGGAGAAAAAAAAGAGAAAAAGAACTTTGAAAACATTTTACCATATTGATAAGTATTTGTCTCCTTTATCACTTGTAGTGTCTTTAAAAATTCTGCTACATGTAAATTACTAAAATAGTTTAATTATTATAATTGTATCTCAATTAATTAGCATTTAAAAACCATCATGGGACTAATTATCAATTCTAATTATTTCTGGAATTAATTACATCAATTCTTTTTAGATGGCGTTATTCCACCAATGTAAGATTAACTTTAATCTTATTTTAATTTATTTTTTATCTTTTTCTAATTTTTAGAATTAGAGAGACAGGAAAAGGTAAACATTAAGCTAAACTAACATTATATAAAGTTAATATACATGGGTGAAAACGGACAATATCATACAAATATGTATATAATATATAATTTATACTTAATTTATTACTTGAACTGTTTACAATATAACTTATCAAAGGCTAAAGATAGCTGAGAATAATAATTTTCTTATCTATTTACATCTATGAAGTAATTCTTGAAAAATACATCATCTATCTACTTCATCATTCTATCGTTCAAAAGCTGTTAAAGAAGAGAAAATGTATACATATAATTTAAATTTGGTGTTGATTCTCCTGCGAACATTTTTTGTAACGAAAATGTTATTTATATTACATGTGATCGTGTGTGGTGTGCGCGTTTCGCATACGAGTGCATATATACTGCGTACGCGTGGTTGATGGTCGCGTGTCCGCGTGGCAAAACTTATCCCAATACGATGAATTAATACGATTATTTGGAATCGTATCCATTTTCTAAATTGTTTAATTGCTTTCAAACCGTATGTCCGTTTTTCGCGATGCCCTCCAATGATCGCGCATTCATTCAGAATTACAAATCCTAGAGGATAAAAACGGAAAAATACTTTATCAGGGAAATATGATAGATATATCGCATATCAAAATGCAAACTTTTTATTTGCGATGCTTTTAAGATATACATAACTTTCTCATATTTTATTACAACATTTTTGTTATACTGTAATATCTTATGTACGATAACAATTATTTTATTACACATATTTTTTATTTTACATTAATTAATTTATTTTATTAATTTATTTTACATTAATTTCATTCGTGAATAAGCGAATTTTGTTTATATAAAGCTTGTTTTGAATATTTTTTTTAGAAAAAAAAACCTTTCTTGTTTTAATTAAGATTTGATTCATAATAATATTTTTATATATAAAGTACTTGAGATATAGTATGGAACTTCCAAGAAGATTTCTAAAAAAAGAATTTTTAATTATTGTAAAATAAAAAATTTTTATCCGAGAAATCTCTCTTTCTACCTAAAATCTAGAAATCTAAAACTTTTTAAAAAATGGAATTGCAATAGCTCATATTATACTCCAGCTCAATAATTCATTCTGTTGAAAATGTATTTGAACATGATATTGTTTGCTTTCGAGTCAGTTTTATAATCAGGTCTTTTTATTCAGCATAGAGTTAAGCTTTATCGGAAAAATTTGTTAATCAAATGCTTGAATGGTCTGCTTGGTCGTAATCTTCGCACCAAGATTTCGCAGCAAATTCAAAATCAAGTACGAATAACGAATGAATTGCATTATAAATCAAAAGATATGAGCAGCATAAACATTTGAAAACAATTGTTTTCAATCCAATTCTTTTATTGATAATAATCATTTGTGAAATGATTCTATAATAATATACTTGAATGAAGATAGCGAACATTATTAAAAGATCATTCAGTACTTCGATCTTGTATAAGTTCTTAGAACTGTTTACTTCGATATGATTAATGAACAAGCAATTATTTAATTTCCGCTATTTAAAATGAAATTAGTTCAATGACCGAACAGAACCCAATTAAATTGATTTGTCATCATTTTCAACAATTTGATAGAATTCTTTGAACACAGTATTATTACTATTATTATTATTACTTAAAGTGCACATAGCATACTATACATTACACTGTACTTACACTGTACTTCCAATAATATGTTGTTATAAAAGCATTTCTATTAAAACTATTTTATTATGTGTTGTCATTGAAATGAACTTCCAAAATGCGGCTCGCACGCGATAATAAATGGTTATTAATCTATTTATCTGTATGTAATTGTTGTACGCTTGAGAGAGTCACACCTCGTTTTTTTCTAACGTATTACATTACATTGAGATGTATCATAATAATCTTATAATTAATTTAATTAATACATTGAAATTTTTTTTATAATAATTAATACATTGAAATTTTTTTTATTAACGCATTTAAAACTTCTACTCTTTCAAAGGCTTAATTAAAATAGAATTAATTTTATTTGTAAAATATAAAAATTTATTACTATGTTTCTACAAATTTTGGACAATTTTAAAT